CTAGACCGTAAACCCCAAACCCTAGGATTAGGACCGAAGGCACGCCTGTCAGCCCCAAACCTGTTCTCTGCCTCAGCTCCTGCAAACGGGTGTCAATGTCAATGTAATCCAGAGGCAGGGCTTGGAGCTTAGGCTTCAGGATTGAGGGTGTAGGGTCTGGGACTTAGGATTAAGGATTTAGGGTCTAGGATTGAGGATTTAGGGTTCAGGATTGACGGCTTAGGGTTTAGGGTTTAGGAGTTGGGATTTAGGCATTGGGGTTGAGGGTTTAGGATTCCTGGTGGAGGGCTTAGAGGCTTTGGGTTCAGGGCTTCGAGTTTAAGGTTGAAGGTTTTGGGGAGGGCGCTGTCAGCTACAGTAAGTCACCACGAAGGGTCTAGGTATACAAGTAAACTTGAAGCACATAAGAGGATGCCATTAAAAATGCTAGTCCGTTTCATCTGGGTGGTTAGAGCCTCAAGTAACCTGTAGGCTGGCAGGAGCTCTCGAAATGCGAGAGCTACCTGAAATCTCACGCAGGAGCCTAAAGGGCGTGTATTTTACTGAAATTTCCAAGGGTCAGACAGGTATCGCATTGTAGAGCAATCATCCAGGCTTCTACAGTACGCAAGCTCCAAAGGACTCTCGTCGGGTGAAAGGAGATTCTAGGGTTTAGGGTTTGAGGGGTACAAGGGGTCAGGGTACAGAGGGAAGGAGATCTAGGGTTTCTAGTCTCCCTAAAGTAGATAGAATATGGCCTTGGGTACATTATAATAAGATCCCCATATACCCCATATTCTATCTACTTAAGGGGGACCCTAAACCCTAAACAGTAGTTTCCAATTTCTTTCCATTATCCCTATATAACCCCCATATTCTATCTACGTAAGGAGGACTATAGGGTTTGAGGGTTTACAATGGTAGATTACAAGGGCACCAGCTGGCCGCGCACCCTAGAGCTCCTGAAAATCAAGCATCACTAGGTCCCTATATTGGGTGGCTGTCCAAATTATGGTCCCTTTTTGGGTACTCTACATAAAGTGCCGTATTAAAATCGGGATCCAAAGATGCACCATAATTTCGACAACCACCCATATAAGACAATGAAGGGAAAGTGAGCATTATCCTAAAGTGCCTCCAAGCAACGGAAGAAAGAAGGAGGGGGGTATAAATGACACGCCGAACCTAGCATGTGAAACCCTAAACCCTAAACCCTAGCTATCTACAAGTGATTAAAGTCCCGGTGGCGATGCTAACCTGAATCTCTGAAACTGACAGAGACAACGGCTCTTGGTCCTCCAACGTGGTGGCCTTAGCTTGAAGGAAACCACTCTAGAGTTTAGGGCTTGAAGTAGTTAGCAGGGGAATGAAGGCATGGAGCTGGGAACTATTACTGCAAAGATTGGGTCTAGAGTGGTTGGTAGGGAAATGAAGGAATGGAAAAGACGATGGGAACTATCATACTTTGGGGGGGGGGGTCATATTTATTCGTGATCCAGAACCCCGCGTTTTCGCGCTCTGCGCCCCACACCCTCTGTTACATACCCCTTGAAACGCCAGCATGTTACGTACCCTCTGTCGTGCTCTTTCACGGTTTCTGTAAAAGGCCACGTTTAGGGGTTTGTCGTGGAAACCGGTCTCTCTTACATGCCCTATGTAACGGGGTATGTGACCGGCGTGCGCCCCGGGTCATGTTACATGCCAATCATCTTGGCACACATCCATTTAGGAATTGGAAAACAAATCGAGGCTCATAAGCTCAAGTCCTGCTATCCCCCACAGCACGCACATCGCACAGCACAGCAGGGCAACATGCCAAAGTTGCTGGTGCGATGCCGCGTCAAGTCTGTCTACAACTATTGATTGGGTTCTGCCCCATCAATTAGCCTCTATGATAAGGGTCATATTAAGAGCTGTTTATGACTATCTTATATAGGTAGTATGCAACTGTTAATGTGTGGGGGCAGTACCCAAACAGTTTTTTGCAGGGGCCTCAACAAAGCGCAGTAGCATTAAGCGTGCTTGAATACATTGAATACAAAACCTTGAAACTCCTTAATGTGAATGCTCTGTGGTGCAACGGAAATCAACTCAAGAAAAGAGACCCCTCTATGGGGGGGTGCGCCCTGTTGATGCAACCCCCATATGACCAACCCTAAACCATAAGACCTTTTATTTACGGGGACACCCAATGTAATGTTCCTAGAGAAGTCTGTATACACTCACTAAAACCCGGTAGTCAAATCCTACTTCATATTAGCTATAGTCTAAACTCCTGGTATCCCCCTTGATAATCCCCATGATGCTACCCTGTGTTTTCCACTATGTCACCCCCTTCAAAAGAGTTTAGGTATGAGCTCCCGACGACCAGCTCGTGCGCGTCTACGCGGCTTTTCAACGGGGGCAGCTCATCCTCAGCATGCTGAATCAAATGGGTTTAGGGTTTAAGGTTTATAAGCCCTACTGGTGGAGGGTTTGGGAGATCTACGTCTTAAGGGATCCTTAGGGAGCCCCTTCTGACCCTATGAGGTTTCCTCAGTTTGAAAACCTGAAAGGGAGATCCTATGCAACCAAAAATGGAACCCACTTTATGTCCATTTTGGGGCAGGTAGTTTGAACAACTACCACATGACGTGATTCAAGGGTTCGCCCTGCATGATTGAGGCTTCGTGCGAATTTTGGTGGGAGCAAATGAGGGAACTGTACTTAAGAGAAGTGCCAATGTCCTTGCGATACTCCTCCGCTTGCCAACGCACATCGCAAGTCCTTCTCACTTGCATGACACGCTTGTGCCAGCCGCATGTTCCTCACCTAGCCTCTCTTTCGGGGTTGGTGTTCCATGGGAGGCATCCCCTAAACCCTAAACCCTAGGCCCTAAGCCCTGAACCAGAGAAACCCCACGCAAAGACAAACATAAGGGGTTTAGGGTTTAGGGCTTATAGGGTCTTATGGGGTCATATAGGGTTTAGGGTTTAGGGCTGATAGGGCTTTATGCGGTTGTATAGGGTCTAGGGTTTAGGGCTTTTGGGGTTTTGTGGGAGTTTGTAGGGTTTAGGGTTTAGGGCTCATAGGGTTTTATGGGGTTATATAGGGTTGGGGGTTTAGGGCTGAAAGGGTCTTATGGGGTCATGAAGGGTTTAGGGTTTAGAGCTTATAAGGTTTTATTGGGTTATATAAGGTTTAGGTTTTGGGGCTTATAGGTTTTGACGGGGTTATATAGGGTTTAGGGTTTAGGGCTTATAGGGTTTTATGGGGTTATATAGGGTTTAGGGGTTATAGGGTTTTATGGGATTATATAGGGTTTAGGATTTAGGGGTTTAATTACGGCTTATAGTGTTTTTCCAAAAGATAAGCTAGGACTGCCTTAACCAACTACCCCTAATGATGAACACCCTCACACGCTCTACAGTACCATAGTAACTGTGTATAGGGGAATATAGCAACTTCCCCCAAAAGAAGGTGCCCTCAACATAGACCCCAAATACTAGAATCCTTGATTTAGGGACACCCAAACAGGTACGCCTAATATTGGGAACCTCATTTTGATTTAGAGCTTGGAGATAAGGGTTGCATGTCATGAGGTCTAATTTGGGCTGGGTCCTTTCAGATTGCTCTCCTTTTTCTGCGTCCTACGTAAGTACAGGCCTTGATGAGGTTCATAAGCTATGTACTGGGCAAAAACCCTAAATCCTAAAACCCTAAATCCTAATAGAAAGCTCTTCATGTTCCGCACGCCCCAATTTTAAAACCCCCATGTCTATCATTAGAGGAGGGGCTTAAGCCAGTCAGCAGCATCTAAGGACCCGCGCGAGGTAGAGCGTGTCCAAGTGGTAGCGCTTAACACCTTCCGAAAGGGTCCATGAAGCTAATATAGGATTTAGGGTGCAGGGTTTCAGATTTAGGGTATAGTGTAGGTATATAGTGTATACTTAGGACCCGAGGGGGCTCCCAAACAACGACTTTAGCTACATGGACCCTTTGCATGTGTGCAGGCGACTGCGGTTGAGGTGACGGCGAGACTTCCAGTGTCTCTGACATTTGATGATGCACGGTTCGTTGCGACGGCCCGGCTGTGGCATCTGCATGAAAGGGTAGAGATATTGTCCGTGGACACCTCATTGGTACTTCTAGCCCGCGTAGGTCCTTGCGGCACCGTCCTCCTTCAATACTTGAGGAGGCATTTCCATGCATGGGGGGGGCCAATTACGCGCCCTAAATGGCCCTAACATGCTATAGTCCTGAGTATGGAGACTCCGCGCAATGCGCTCCGAATTTATTAGAACCACCTAGGTGCACGCAGCCTGTCAAGTATTCAATCAAAGGTCTTGCCCGGTAAATCAAGTCTCATCTTAGAGACCCACGAGACCCTTACCTGCTTGATCCCATATGATTCTTCAGGTCAAACCTTCAATACACGGGATATGTGCGAAGCATGTCATTTTGGCACCGGGCCATTTTGTATATGCCTGAATTCGAGAACTGTGTGCAGAGCTCCTTTTTGTGCAGGCGCGTTCTGTAAGCCAACTTGAGGTCGAAAACCGTTCTCCGAAGAATCGTGTGCCCGCAAGGTTAATTAAAGTGTTCGTATACAAAAGATGAAGCTACAGCAAGACTTCTATAGAACCGACAACGGCTCAGGGCTTCTCAGTCTTTAACCTGTGCTGAACTTGGAAGGACAAGGAAAAACACAATTGTGTTGTCTCTTGCGACGATAATAATTAAGTAACAAGATGTAACAAGTAAAAAGCATTTCCAAATACCCCTAAGCAACGATGATGCCTTCCTTGCCCGCCACGATGCAGGCCGTGGTCATACCGGTGAAGAGCCCATGGTCAACGACGCCGACGGTGGCCTTCAGCTGCTCACCGGCAGCCACGGGATCCTTGATGGGGCTGGTGAACTTCCTGAGATGCAGAATGAGCTATAGTCTAAACTCCTAGTATCCCCCTTAACAACCCTTACATAATTCCCTATAGACAGAACCGCCTTTAAGAAGTACACAGACTATAGCTCAATGATGGCAATGATCACATACAGAAGTGCCTAGTGAGACTGTGGAAGCAAGGGGCAGTTTAGGAGAGGGAGCAAGCGTTATTCGACACTTTGCTGCCGAGCTGCAGGTCGACGATGTAGTTGCCGTTGTCCGTCACCGCTGGCTCATCGCCATCCGGCTGGTTGTTGGCCACGTTGCCCAGCCGCAGCACCGGGTCGCAGCCCTTGAGCGCAGGCAGCGAAGCAATCTTGCGCATGGTGTGCTCGTGGCAGAAGGGCACAATCTCCACAGGCACCGGGAAGCCAGGACCAAGGCCATCGCAGAGCTTGGACTCATCGACAATGACGATGAACTTCTTGGCGCACATCTCCACGATCTTCTCTCGGAAGAGGGCCCCGCCACCTCCCTTCACCAGGTTCAGGGCGGGGTCCACCTCGTCGGCACCATCAATGGCCACGTCCAAGTCGCTGTGAGTGTCCAAGGTGGCCAGGGGAATGCCAAGGCTTTCAGCCTGTTCCTGCGTACGGATGGAAGTTGGGATGGCAATGATGTCCTTCAACTCTCCAGACTTCAGCTTCTCCCCCACACGCTCGACCGCGAAAGCGGCAGTGGAGCCAGTGCCAAGACCTATCACTGTGCCACTCTGCACATAGTCGTCCACAGCCTTGTATCCAACCATCTTCTTGAGCTCATCCTGGCTAAGTGCTTTCCTGATGGACTTGGCTCCGCGCGCCAAAGCCACGGCAGCGCACATGCCACCTAGGGCAAGGGCGGTGCCACTGGTGCTGCCCGCTTCGCCAGACGCCTGGACGCGAGCTCCGCGCACATTGCCCACCCTGACGCCTGTGGCCGGTGCGGAGACCTGTCCCGGGGCGGTGAAGGCAATGCCTGTGACCCAGGCTGCGGCTGCGGCCGCGCCGACTAGCATAGCGGACCTCGACACTGAAGGGGCCATGGCTGCTTGCTACACCGCTTGGTCCTGCAATAGCTGAAGATCCGCTCAGGCTTGCACCAGGAACTTATCATCGTCGCTGCAAGGTTATGATTTCCGGACTCTGAGGCAAAGCGCCCACGAAGATTGGTGCAGGCGGAGACGTGCGATCTCCTGGCTCAAAGTGGAATCGTTTCTTGAAATTGGAACGTAGGTGCCCGGGGAAGTCGCTGGGTTGCGTTTCAAATCTCATAGCCCTTCCCGAATACAAGCACACCTGAAGTGCCTCCAAGACTGGTGCCTTTTTCAGCGGGTCCATGTACCTAATAATTAAGTACTGGGGTACTGGGTAATTGTAAATCATACCAGTTTTGGGTAGGCGCATGATTATTAGGTACCTGGACCCTTAAGGTTTAGTTTGGCAGCGATGCCAGACTTCAACCCTGAAGTACTGCAGCCCCACACTTCTCAGGGACTGAATCTCGGAAGGAATGCCACAAGGCTCTCTGCCAACGCTACCAACTGACTATCCGCTAGTCTGTCGAGATTCCTTCTGCAGCCTGGCATAAGTAGCAAACGATCTAATTAAGTTTGAAAGGCTTCAGAAGATCTTGGCGGTACTTGCCGCTAATGCTATGACGGCGAAGGTGCGAGTGGATCACGTCTTTTACGGCACTGCTAATTCTAGCATTGGTCGCTGCAGTAGCTTTTAGTGACGTTAGCACACACCAACCACAGTAGACACAGCAAAGCAAAAGACCCTAAGCCGTAAACCCGAAGCCAAAACCTTAGAACACACAGTCGAGGCCTTCATCTTGGAAATACCGCGAGAAGATGCCGCCTAGAACAGGCACAAGGGCTCCATTTAGCTGTACAGTATAGGATTTATATAGGGTCTAAGGTTATGGGTCTGAGGTATAGGATTCAGGGTTTAGGGCGGGTATATAGTATATACTTAGGGCCCAAACAGGTTCCCATATAACTACCTCAGGCCCCGAGTGTATACTCAATAGCTTCATGAGCTTTCGTCTAAAGGCCTAGCACCCCCTCTCATAACCCCTATAACACTCCCCTATATAACTCCCTTGAAGGAGTGTAGACTGTAGCTCACATGGATCCTTTCAACTTAAACCCTAAACCCTCAAAACTTTTCTCGAAGGATTTGGTGGAATCATGACTGGACGGCGCCGCTTGTCGTTGATACCGAGGCAAGTTGCAGGGTCACAGGGGCGTAGAAAGTATGGTTTAGGGTTTAGGATCCAACTATCCCCATGGGTAACCTACTCATTCTGTCTCCTTGACACCCCCCTCAAAGTAGGGCTTGTGCTAGTTCACGCCATGCCTAGAGCCTGACACAAAGACCATAGAAACCTTAAACCCTAAACTCCAAACCCTAATCCTGGAATTACCTACTATACTACTATGGGGTCTCCAATGGTAGTTATGCAGGCCGGTCCGGTACCTGTATACTTGGGTCCAAAGGCCCTAAACCCTAAACCGTAGGATCTTCGGGGCTTCAAGTATAGACTACAGAGGTACCTGGACCTTCGGCGAAGGATGTGCTGCAAAGAGTAGATTTAGGGTCTAGGGTTTAGGATTTAAGGTTTAGGGTTTGCAAAGATAGAAGGATGCCTAAAGTGAAATGTCAACATCGTGTTGTGGTCAGTTTGGAGTGCTCAATATCATAGTTGCTCAGAATTATACAAGGCTTCTAGGACCATCAACAATATTGGCCATTTAAGCCTCTATAGGAAAACCTCTACATAAGCCCAGTTTCTGTTGCATCCTCCATGTCTTTGCCATCTGATTCTCCATTTTTGAGATCGGATCCCCAAGCCTGAACCCTTGTTCAGGCCCATAACGTACCCCCAACAATTTTGAGAAATCCCCCTCAACTTGAAACTCTAAACCCTTGATGGGGTGTGGCCTCCCAGCCGAGGCAAGTCCCCCCGCAATCAAGAGAAATCTACACCTTAAAGCCTACCCAACCTAGACCCATCCTTCTTAGGCCCACCAACCAAGCTACTACAGAGGGTTTGGGTTTAGGATCTAGGCAGAGTAATCTAGACAGTCGACAATGCGCAGATGCCAACATATTTGGTAGAAAAACCTCCGTTTTGCAGCATGTTCGATTTGGAGCCGGCGGGGCCCTCACAAGGAAGGACCACATTTTCGTTTTGTGGGCTTAAGGCTTAGGGTTTACGGCTCAGGGTTAAGGGGCTGCAGTTTTTTAAGGGTTGAGGGTTAAGGGCTTAGGGTTTTAATTTAGATACATGGTAGTTTCCCAAAATAATGGTACCCCAATATAGATCCTAATATACTATAGTCCTTATTATGGGGATCCACAAAGGGTACCCCTAATTCTAGGAAACCCCCACATCCTGAACGACAGGAGCCCGAAGTGGTGAAACTATTGCGGCCAGTGACTATGGCAAAAGCGAAGACCTCCTCAGGGTTTAGGGTTTAGGGTACTAATGGCATCCGCCTCAGCTCCAGGTGTAAAAAAAGGGGTTTAGTACCTACAGTTTCTCTGAGACTGTGCATTGTTTCTGCCAACCCTAATCCCTAAACACTACATTACGTGCAGCAGCAGTCTGCAGCAAGGTTCTGCTTCGGGTAATCTACTGGGTTGCTGTTAAGGAAGTTAAATCAAGTTACCATAATGGGTAGATCTATCTATATATGTATATAAGTATCCCCAATATAGTCAGTGTCTACGCGTATCGGTAATCTTTCTTGAAAGGCCGGCTGTCCTTAGAACACATCGCCACCTCAGGAACTCACATCAGTGGTTCCATGCTTGTCTCGTCAATTGCTCCACGACATTCCAAGACACCTTCTGCCACAAGATCAGTGCACTTCTTTCTAGTTTGGCTACATGAACACTGCAAGAATTTAGACCCTCCCAGTACCCTTAAATGGGTTAATAGAGCAATTGGAGGGTCTAGGTTCAATAGAGAGCAGTTGGAGGCTCTAGGTTGTTCCGGGTTTTGAAGATGTTGAAGGTTCTGCTTTTTTGCTCGCACACTCGATGACTGCCCGCCTTTGGGGTGAGTGCTTCAAAAGCAGGTCCTCCTCATCTATGTTGGGGTTTCCCAAAATTAGGGGCGGTCTTTTGGGATCCCCAGCATAAGGACGATATGTCGGGGTATATTGGGGCCCCTTATTAAGGGAAACTACCATGTACCTAGACCTCCCACAGCCTTTGTCTTACATGGCCTTCATTGCTTCGTGCTCAAAACCTTACTCTACAGCATGAAGCATTCCAAAAAACACGAAGCTGCAATGGGAGGTCTAACTATCGCTGCAAGTGAGAGACCGACTGGCAAAAGCCGATCAAGGATGCAAGGGTCTTCCACCCTCCTCCAAACTAACATGGAACCTATAAACAACGGTGTCATGTAAATAGCGCACTGCATGGGATTCTATTTTAGTTTGTTGGAGGGCATGTAGTGTTTGCACGAATGCGCGGTACATCTCGTAAGCATGGCCCTTAAAGGGATGTATAAGACATATACGAGTGTAGCTTATTACGTCATTCGCCCTGGCTGAAATTTTGTCCAGGTAGACCATCAAGGAACTCGAAATGCTAATGCTGCTACTGAAAACCCTGCATGACCTTAGCATGCTACCCTAAACCCTAACACCCTAACCCTAAACCTACAAGACCAAACAACTTCCAATATCTGGGTCCTTAACTGGGATCGTTTCCATGTTACCACCATCCCTGGAGACTCCCTGCAATGTCTACAGCTTACCTTTTTGTAACCTGAGGTATGTAACCCGTATATACATTTATGCAAGACCTGTCTCCGCCTTTAGATGTAGAACCCCTTTTGATCACAATCACCATGTTGGTCTCTCCACCACCCGCTTCACGCGCCCGGTGTGGAAGCACTTCCGGTGTAAACCTCGGGCACCTGCTCGAACATGTGCCGGCCTCGTAGCAGCCAACCCAGGAATATACAGGCTTGACCTAGAGGGTTCAAAGATTATCGGGAACCTCGTCTGCAATGACAATATTGGGTACCAAGAGATGCTAGGCCAAGTTGGCACTGTCAAAACGGCACCTAAATCCTAAACCCCAACCCCCTAAATTCTAGATTCAGCATCGAGCTTTCACAGAGCCAGACACTTTCATGAACAATCGGAAGCATGCACCCCGTCTGGCATTTATCAGAGCCTTACCGTAGAAGTCTGAATAAGTTCCGAAAACTTTATGGATCTAGAGTCCCTGTATCATTATCTTATAGGGTACTCCAAATGGCTCCAAATGCTATCAGTGACAGTTTAGGCCCTGTAGTACATGCTTAGTGCTGCATGCCTTACCAGCTTCATTCCCTAGAAGCCCTCATCTCTACACATCGTCATGAAAATCTGCGCATTATTCTAAGGGTCCAGGTACCCAATAATACTGAGGGCTTTGGCAATACTATCTGTGCATCTGATTACGGGAGGGGTATCCTTAACCCTAAACCTCAAAACTTATTTGATTATTGGGTACTTGGACCCTTACGGTTAGGCTCCCTGCAGAATTGCTGGCAGTTCCACTTCATGATGTCGTATTTCTTCCAGCTGACATGCTCCAACCTTGCCAGAAATTCGGGTGCGGTGTCTCAAGTTCAGACATGGTTGAAGCCAAAAAGATGTCCCGATATCACGCTGGGTTCTACTTGAGCTTCCCTGTGCTGGGTTCTACTTGAGCTTCCCTGTGCTGTGATTATGCCAGGAATCTAGACCCTAATGCGAGGAATCTAAACTTATAATCTTGGTAGTTATTCACGCCCCCATGGTCCTATGTCCTATAGTATGCCATCTTCCAAAGATACGGCTCGTCACAGTTAAACCCGAGCCACTCCGATCGGACGGCTCTAGAACCCACAAAGCAAAATCCTAACCTCTAGACCTACTGACATAGCTATGAAGCTCTAGAAATCCATGAAGCACCTACGTAGTTCTGTTAGGACCTGGAAGATAATCCCCCATGGCCCGCATGTAAGTATAAACTCTAACCCGAAGGCTTATTCTGATTTGTAGACCGCTACTTGTAACACAAACCTTCAGCATCGTGCTAAGGCCTCTTTACCTGCTGCGAATCAGGTGTCCGTCAGCGAAGGGATGTCTGAAATATAGCCACACGCATCTCAAGCCTCATCCTGTAATGGGGAACTAGGGGGGGAGGATTGGGAAGGGGGTGCAGGGGGCTATGTGGGCAAAAGTAATGGCGCAGAAGTCGGTAGGTAAGGCCAAAGGAAGGGTATGTATGCACATATCTCCCCTTACACCCTCACCATGGTCCTACCATGACGCCCTGCCGTTGTAAAGAAAGTCAGCAGGCGGGTGAGCGCGCAGTTCACTGCCAATTATCAATATGATGCTCAAAAACTCTGAGGGCCACACTGCTGACAGACCTTGCAGGAGGAGGTTTCGTTTGGCTTTCTTTCCTCAAGTTATGCCCTGGTCTCCTCTCATGTTCCTATGTGGCCTCGACACTAAGAAATTCTATATCAGCATAATGGTAGGTATATTTGGGAAGGCTGAGTACTTAGACTATGGAATATTACCTGCTGGTTATAACTTGGCTTTTGGGGAGAACCTACAGTAGTATCGATGGAGTAAATCTTGCACCACCTAAACACAAACTACTAACCAATGACTACTATACCCTAAACCCTAGACCCTTAATCTTAGACCCCAAAGCCCAAACATCCCTAAGCCCTTGGGATCCAAAGTTGTGCAGAATTTCCTGCACCCGGTGTAGGTCATGATTTACTGTACCTAGCCATAAGCCGCATAGACTGGGTTGGCCCCGAAAACGCGGGGTTTAGTTTTTTTGGGGCTTAGAGGCTTAGAGTTTAGGGCACTACCCAACCCCATCTTCCATCTCATTGTCCGTTACGGGAGCAACACCAGAAGAAACTACAGCGAATAAGATGATTTTGGACAACCACGACCTCACCCCAAATAAAAGCAAACGGTAATAGGATCCCATGATGTCCATGTGACAGCTACGGGGTCCTAATTCGGGGGAGTAGCGGCTATCAAAGCCCAACTAAAGAAGAAACATCATCGAAAGACATCCTAAGGCTCATATGCTCACGTAACCGATGGTTTAGGGTTTATAGGGTTTGCTGTTTACACTTTAAGGTTTGGGGCGTGTGGGTTTAGGACAGGGACCTGTACCCTTTCATGAGTCAAGTGCTTCCTGTGCATTGCAATGAAACCTTTCACCTGAAAGCATCAGAATGCTTCCACACAAAAAAGCTCAAGACACGGCGGCTAGAGATTAGGATTTAGGATTATGGGTTTAGGAACTATGGGCGCACATGGGGTTGATCTGACGGTCTTTAGGGGAACTTACAGACGGACATTAACCCCAAAAACACTGGAGAATCACATGCAAAAAAACATGGAAAATGAAATGGACACGGGGATTTTGACTTGATTATAGGGATCAAGGTTTTGGAGGCATATGGGGTGTCGACCTAGGGGTCCTTTGGGGAAACCATTTAGGGATCCACTATTTAGAGATCATGTAGCTCTCCGAAGGAAAGGAACAAAGACTTTGTTTTTTTGCAGAATGGCCATTTTGGGAACAGGAGTTTGATCAAGTACAAATAATTAGGAACCTTCACTGCTAGCTCAGCACTGAAAACTCTCATCTTCGCCTAAGAAATGTTTACCCCCCGTGCAAGTCTGAAACCCCCAACCCTCAACGAACCGTATTATTTAAAAAAAGGGCCCATACTGAAAGAATTATAGGATATAGCATTTCTGAGGAAGAGCTACGTGTAGAAAACACAGCCCACCTCCATCCCAGTGACCCGACACATCTTGCGAGAAAGGACGTCGCCCACAGGACACGGATCCTGTTCCCAGACCCCCGCGAGGATCCAACAACTAGACCCGCGGATCCAACAACCTACAATGAACCATGAACTCTATACAATTCCTATAAAGAACCTGCAATCTACTGGCGAATCTAAGTTTTGGTTTTCTTTGGGCGTCTAAGTTGTGCTCTGTTAAGACAATTCCAAGTGAACTGCCTGAATCAGGGCTTAGGCTAGACAATAGGGGCGAAAACTTGCAATGACAAGCATGCGTATCGAGGTTCCAATCATGGGGGCGTCCCCTCTTACATGCCCCCATGTACTGCGGTCAGTCCTTGCTACGGGACCCCTAGGCCAAGGACCCCACCTTCTTGAAAACCCCCATAATGACTTCTGGTTCTGAATGCTAAGTCCTGTTCGGGACATGTTTCGAACGCTCCGGCTTACAGGTTCATGGGTTGGTGTTTTATGAGCTGAGCTGGAGAAGGGTCAAGGCACATCCCAAATGGTCCAACCCATGGGCCCCAAGGGCTTCCTATGTAATTAGGTACTTTGAGGCTGACATATATACCATATGGGTGCCCAGAACCTTTGGGCATGAAAGGAGTTGAAGGGAGACTGATGATGGAACATGTTTGAGGCCTACCAGAACGTTGATTCAGCTGGACCAAATCAACTCCGAAACTTCCACGGGAGGAAAAAACCATCTCAAATCACCGGCAGCCTTTGTCGAATCCCTTGTTCCAAAAGTTCTACACCATGATGAGATATCCCGATACCGCTTCAACAAAAATTGCGTGCATTACAACTGCGTCGCATCTGCAATGCAAGGGGTGAAGGGGAAGGGTTCAAAGCTGGACTCCGAGAACGGCCTCGACCTTTGCCTCAGCTTCTTCTTGGATACGCCGTCCAAGGTTTTGATTCCAGAAAAGAGCCCAAGCAAGAAACCGGATTAAAACCGCATCGAAAAGCCGGGCAACCTGTCCTCTGAACTGTCTGCGAAGAAGAAACCATCTTTACCTGCCGAGATGCTCCCAAATCAACTATATGGGGTTACATAAGGGACTACTATAAGGAATCCATTGGGGTTAAATTGAGACTACTATAAGGAATTTATTGGGATTAAATTGGGACTACTATAATGAAAATATTGGGGTTATATAGGGATAATGGAAATAAAATGGAAACTACCGTTGTTCAAGAGTCTAGTTAGGACACAAGGTTGGGAGTATGTGAGGCTGCGGCACCGGCAATAATAAGGCTTGAAGGACAAAGACAAGCAACCCCAACCAAGAAAGCACACAAGGTTGGGAGTATGTGAGGCTGCGGCACCGGCAATAATAAGGCTTGAAGGACAAAGACAAGCAACCCCAACCAAGAAAGCTGTCCCTTGTTGATAAGGCAACTTGTGGAAGCTCAGCCTGCCAAAACATCCTCCGATGTCAGTTGCATCTGATAGACAAAAAGCCTTGAAACCAATGACCAAACTGAAGTGGTGGCCAAAAGTTGGTAGCCTCAGCAACTTGGACGAGGTAGTAATAAATACAATCGAATGTCTTGCTTGAAGAACAGTTGGATATTGCATAACCATAACTCGTGTACCTCCTTCCCTTTTAAAATTCAAGTGAACTATACCTCATACATGCCTCAAAGCAAAGTTGTACAGATTGAATGCTTGGGTGCATCAAAGGGGATTAAATCTGCAACTGAGGGCTTCGGCAACTTCAGACACAAAGAGTAATCCTAAATTTATGATTTCGGGGCTAGGGTGACCCGTTGCCATCTGCACTAGGCCCTCCCCCTACATAGGCTACAACACCTTCACCCCCGCAGTTGTAACTAAGCCCTCCCCGCCATTAGACGCTTGCCCTAATCAAGGACATTTCATAATCGGGGGTTAGGGGAATTTTTAACCCCATGGGGGAGATAACACATCCTATCAACAACTAACATGGAAGCCCATATATAGCTGCCTGTACAGTAACATTGTCTTTACAGGGCCGCATTTCAGGTTGCATGCTAGCTTGTCAAAAGGGTAAGTGGTTCCGAGCGCCCGGCCCCAATCTATCTTCAGGCTTCTCAGCCGTCGTTCGCTGAAATATTCCTCAGCTGGGGGACGTTCAAACTCAACCTACACAACTAGAATTCTATAGACATATAATATACATATATATATATATCTACGCGGGCTTCAAGAAACAACAAAAATGCACAGGTCAGCACAGCCTCCCCAGTTGCTGTTGCAGGTACTGGTATGGATCGAATTCTTGCATACTGGGGTCTACTTCCACCACGAATCTTTACTGGTGGTTAATAAGGAATCCGGGAAACTGCCATCTCTGCATAGTCCCTGAGAATAACCTCTCAAGTTCCATTCCTTCATTCCGCACTTATGTCGTACCAGGTAGCCGTAAGAATCCCTGGCGCAAATAGCAAGTGCATTGGAGCACTATGCGGCCCTGGTATATGCGAGGAACAGCGCCTAGTACGTAGACTTGGGCTAGAAGTACTGGTAGTATAGGTCTTGGAAGGGAATGAGTTTTGTGTGTCATCATGGTGGAAGGATCCCTCTACCTGATATATAGTATAACTAAAGTCCCAAACTGCCTAATTACATGGGAACCCCTTTGGGCCTTAAGTATATGCTATATACCTAGCCTAGCCTAAACCCTGAACCCTACACATGTCTTTGAAAAAGTGGAAGCCCAGCCCCTGAGGGTATCCGGACCGTTTGGTTTGCAGGACTTTGCCCAAGATCACAGGTATTAGCCTGAAAATTTGTGGACATGTGAGACTTTAGCCGAAGCAGCAAGGAATGGGCATAGCTTTTTCTTGCCGCGTTTGGTCTCAGGACTACGTCAGGTCCCCCTCCGAGGAACATCACATCCAAGCTATCAGATATCATAAGTCAGGGACACCAGCAACAAGGCACCGCTCATTGGCTGTTGTGACCGGTTTTGAAATCATCTGAACATGCTAGGCCATCTCCGATGTTGCCCTTGCTGCTTCCTCTGCAACCACAAGATTCCCAGAAAGGCCCCTCCACACAAAATACCAATTTCTTTCATTGGAAGCTGATCCTTCTGGTCCATCTCCTTCAGGTCTGGCAGCCATGGGACACAAATTTCAGCTGTTTCTTTGGACCAAAGACTAATCTTAGACACCACGTCAGGGACAAAGGTCATCGTTGCTCCCAGTCGTACTAGGCTAAAGCTCGCTGAGCTCATACCCAACAAGGCCAGACATCCCATCATCACGTTGGGCTTCAGCAGCTTTAGGAAGGGTGTCAAGGGCACGCAGCTAGTCAGCCGCCCCAAGGTGAAAGCCATCAGCTGCGGAAACATCTTGGGACAGCGACTGTCACTTTTTCTTTAGGCAAGGTCTCGAGCCACATCCCCTGCGATTTGGGGCAGAGGTGACACATCGTGACACTGTAGGGAATCAGGGTCAGGGCTCAATTCGACAACAGTTTCTTCCAAATAATACAATCACCGGATCCTACAGGATGTAGGGTGTGGGGTATTACCCCAGTAAGGGAGAATCGGAGAATCACATGAAACAGAACATTGAAAAGACCATGGAATTTGGGTTGACATGCGGAGTGTATACCAATATTCAATCACACCAGGGATTCAGAGAAGGATGGAATCCCGTTTTGGCCGTATTTAAAGGGACAATGTTTTCCAGATCTGTTTTTGAGGAATTCCATGTTTGCATGGCGTAGCGTACTGCGCTTGGGTAGCATGTTTTAGAGCGATTGTGTAGGGATTGCAGGGCCATCCATATTTGCAATTATCCACATACTGTGGCACTATACCCCGATTCCAGTTTCAGCTGATTCCTACACCAAAGGTGAAAGCCTGATTTGCCAATCCACGGCAAGCATCGTAGACTAGCGTGTGATGATCCACCACACCCATCCAAGACGCCTGCCAAAAGTCGAGCAGGGGTTGGCAAATCACCTACGCATGTCCTTAATCATCCCTATAAGCCCGTTTATGAAGTCTTCATTGAATTTGTCACTTTCTTATCCATTTGTTTCTTGATTGGTATGATCAAGTTGGGAATAGTTGGGGAAGCTGAAATGAGGTCTGCTTACGATAAAGTTACAAGGTGCCCTGAGGGATCGCAAATGTCCGCACAGCCTGCTTTAAACCCCACTACAGAAAGCTGGGCGCACCCCTCAAACATGTGGGTGGTTGTCAAAATTATGGTCATTTTTTGAGTACCCTAAATATTAGGTGCCTATTCTAATAGGGATCCAAAAAGGGACCATAATTTTGACAACAAACCATATAACCCAATATATACCCAATTATAA